TGATTGTCCCTTCACCCCTCATCATCATCCTATCATCTTATAATTCTCACACTTCAAGGCGTAACAACCTTGACATTCCGCGAGATACAGCTGAAAAGCTGATCCTGGAAATATTACACACGTTAATGATATAGCGTGGCCAGTAATGGTCTATATGCCAATAATAATAGTAATAATAATAATAATAATAATAATAGTAATAATAATAGTAATAATGTTAATAATAATAGTAATAATGTTAAAAATAATATTGTTAATAATAATAATAATAATAATAATAATAATAATAATAATAATAATAATAATAATAAATTAGGCCAAAGTTGTATATCAGAAGGGAATCTCATTAAATATAATTTCGTGAAGAAACCGTCAGATGTTCGGATAACGATTATTGCAGAATGGGGAAAACCCAGATTAACTGGAATCTATTTCTATATTATCAAATTGGAATTTTTAAATTAGAAAACAATGCTACTTTTTTTCATAATCAACTTTTGTTTTAAACATTGCTCAATTCGTTTGTAATTCACTCCAGTGGTTTCAGAAGTGAAGAGGAAGGGAATAAAAGTTGAGATGTCTATTCTGCAGTTTATAAGAAAATCCTATGAGATCAATTTTACGTAGATTAATGTTGTCAATAATAATTTTTATTCAAATTGTAATAATATCATAAAATTTTAATTACTCGTATCCTACTATTTTGTATCTATCTATTACATAATTTTATGGAATCAAAAGCTTTGATAAAATTATAAAGTTGTGTTGACGCTTTTAAACAAATATGTATGCAAGAACAATTCCTTCGATTTTTTGTCAAGATCGAATTCGGATTAACGACGGTTCGAACTTTTGACGTCCGAATTATTGACGCTTTACTTTAACAAAATATGTCCTCTACGTCCATTTCCTGTAACAGATTGCAATAAACATGCACAAAAAAATCTATTTCCACTGAACTGTTCATTAAGAAAGAGTATACTTTGTGATGTACAATTACCAATGAAAATGTACAATATCTAAAAGCTTAAAGTAGATAGCATTATTATAAGGATCTTTTAAAATGACTTGTTGATGAGTCTTAGTGTCTTTGCGTCAGAGCGGCGCGGTCTGTATCGCACGCCATTTTATGCGGCGTCTTTGATTCCTCGGCAACCCCTGTCTCCATTCATCTGCTTGTCCTTGACACCTGAACGTGACTGCGTGGCTGCTGGAGCGCCTTGCGTGGGATTGGGAAATTCCCGTCTAGTGCACCGTCGCGTCGGAGTCCACTTTCCACGGCAGTTCATCCCGCAAGGTTTACTAAACCCGTTGTTTGGGGAAAATTTGCAGCGAAGAAAACTACCTGAATCAATGTTTTCGGGATTCCCACTGCTCTAACTAATGAAGGACATTATATTGAGCCGGCTCACCATCAGGAAGGCTTCCTTTCTACTTGTGATATACCTCCGCAATCTCTTCATTTGCTGCTTCGAAGGTGTGAGTAGTCCCGGCGAGCGGTTTGGGGGCTGCGGGTTTGGGAATTCCCGGTTGGTGCCCTGCTCTAAGCCTGTACGACGTAATTTACTTATCTTAGTAAACTCGCCGTTTGAATCATGTAATCTTGGAGGAGCGTGGAACTGGGAACTTGGGAACTCTTGACGCCCGATCATTGTGTAATACAAGTTGCCAGTTCGGGGCTTACTTTCTTCTGAGAAACAGAAAGAAGTCTTTTAATCCCCGTAAATATGAATGACGTACAACATTTCGTGTTTATTCTTAGTTTGTTATAGTTTAGCGGTGAATGTGCTTATTATCCTGCTGACCGACGTTTGCATAATCCTTCTTATGATTTTATATACTTTGTTTTACGTTACATATGGGGATTAATAAAAATATATGGCGATTACTAATAAATATGTGGGAATAAACATTAACATATGGGAATGAACATTAACATGGGGATGACCAATAACATATGGCGATGACCAGTAACATATGGAGATGACTCAAAATATGTCTCATCATGATATAATATAAATTTCTTCATTACAATTTACTTTACATCTCATTTCATATTCATTTTCTTTGACTATTTTTCACCACGTCACATCTTATATCTTCTAAAGAAAAATTAATAATTTTAGTAAATATTTATTTTTTACGTAATATTAACCTACCTGTTGTCAATTACTTTCAACGAACGTACTGAAATTTAAAATTTTAATACGCATAATGCTCGTGAGGAAAACCGACGTTCTCTGCAACACGCATTAGCCACGCGTCAGTTTCCGATTGCATCACCGGAGACAAAGTAGCGACGCGGTTGCCCACGCAACCATTGGCATTGCGAGTCGCGTTTGTTTAAGGGCGTTACGAAGGCTGAATTGCTCGATGTGCGCCTTCAGATATTCCCACGAAACGACGCGGCGGCGGAGCGCCTGCATCCCAGACGTCTCAGGAGAAAAAAAAACATTCCCAGTTGGCAACGCAAATGGACTGAAAAAGTGATGTAACGATTGGTGTGAAGACGGAATCATGGGTTGTTTTCGACCAGCTACGTGGAGAGCCTTCCCTACACTAGTAATGAGGCTTCACCAACAAAACATCCCTTTTTAAATTTTAAATATCGATGTTCAAAATGCATCGACCAAAACCATCAATGTTTTTAAAAGTATTTTAGTAATCTCTAACATCAGTGCTTATGTGAGGAGGAGCGACTTCATTTTACGTTGGTCTTGTTATTTAATGTATGAATTGAGACTTAGCTGGCAAAACAAATTTTAGAAAATATCTGAGCAATTAATAAAACTTTATCATGTGACTGGATAATGCAAAAATAATATTTTGAAAATATCGACATCAATGTCGCATCCGTATTCCCTACTTTGATAATTTGTGAAGTAGTTTCCTTCCTGCGTGTTTGGAGAGATTATTTCAAGGAACAGTATGTCAATTTTTGATCTTTACTTGCAATTTTCCCAGAGCATATATGATTCCGATTTACATTCAATGAACCTGAACAAACCAAAAGCTGACATGTGTGTAAATGGATTGGAGAAAATGATATTTATGAATTGGAGTTTGCCGAAAACACAATTGCATATAGTTTAGGTTTGTGTGAGAGGGCGGTGAAAATTGTTGAAATATCATAGATGTTTTGTTTTTTCACTTTCATCGCACTAGGCAATATAAATTCCTTGTTGCTTCGCATATATTCAGTTTACAATAAACTAGCGATATTTGTGATTCCAGGATAAATATTTAGAAGTTTATTGGCAACCCTAAATCTTGGGAAAGGCACGATCGTGTTTGCTCTGAGATGCATGTATGCAAACATTTTTTTCAGCTTCGGCCACAGCCTGTCGTCTCCGCATAAACAACATATATTACTCTAAGTGTTTTGAACTTTGAAAAAGGATAACCTAAATTTGGAATGTGTGAGCGTTTGCACACACATCACAATTCAGCGTCCTGGCTTATGTTTGGGCTGGTGTGTCACAATCTATCACGCTGTTAAATCTTTCAAATTCGTGAGCGTAGCTTCCAGTAAAGTCAACTAACCTAGAAAGTACATCACCTGATGAAAACTCTTTAATTACTTTCTGATGATCATTAATGCATGTAATATTTTTACCTATTCCACCCAAATTCCATGAAATTCGCGCGGCACCGAGATTTAAAACATCCGGCAACAGAAAACGACCTTTATAAAAAGTCAGTTTAAATAATTCGTAGTCAGAGCGGAGTGGTTGCTTGTTTGTGACGAAAATATTAGGAAAATACGGAACTACAGCTACTTTTTTTAATTCAAGAGATTTAATAGAAAAAATGAAGAACTGACGAACGAGTCCTGTGCGAGAATTGAAAATAAAAGACATGAGACAGGCATAGTTTTGGCTTGGTTTTGTGAAGGTATGATAAAAGACAGTAGAAGTTTGTTACTCAGACTCAAGATTCTTTAATGTCAACCGCGGAGGCCAAAAGCACGACCCTCAACTGGGAAGTATAGTCAGCCGGCCTTAGCGCTGTTTTGTACGTTACGAAGATGCCGTACGTGTGCTTTGTTTTCCCGATGAAGGAGTACACTGAGAAAGTATTGTGATTTAATAGGATGGTTACAGGCCCCGCGTACGTCTTTACGTCAATGGGTTAGTACGTATTGACAATCAACCATCGGTACGTCACAAATGATGATTATTGTCACAATGTATAAATCGATCGTCACAACTGGAAGACACGTAATCGTAGGTGTATGGTAAAGTGAGAAATATCATTTTCTCAGTGTATATTCCTTTTCTTTTTACGATAAGGGATGAAATATGGAAAACGTACATACGTTTAAACGCACATATATATATATATATATATATATATATATATATATATATATATGTGTGTGTGTGTGTGTGTGTGTGTGTGTGTGTGTGTTTGTGTGTGTGTGTGTGTGTGTGTGTAAAACGTATGACGGAAATGAAATGCTCTGAGACAGCGGAAAATGGAATGAAACCAGAATCAATTTGGGAATAATTTCCATTGATAGTTCTATCAATTATATTTGCAATTTGTTCTCTTGGAATAAACTACAGGAATATTAACTCGAAAACGGAAACGCAGTTTTTGTTTTTGGTTTCCTCTTCACAATAACTATGTGGGACGAGAGGGCTTTATCTTAAATTCTGTAGCTAAAACTTAACTTAATTACAGCTTAAATCTGATAATATAAATTAAATCGATAGTCTCTTGGACTATCGTTTTAATCTCGGGCCTATTTTATTTGAAGTTTTTCCTTTATGATACTAGGGATTATCAAAAATTATATTTGATAATTAATTACAGCTTAAATCTAATAATATAAATTCAAACGATAGGCTCGTGGACCTATTTTATTTGAAGTTTTTCCTTTATAATACTAGGGATTATCAAAAATTATATTTCTGATCAAATCTTTCTTTGTCCGTTCACGATACATTCCAATGCAACTCTATTCTTTCAACATTCATCCTTTTTTATATTTTTCTGGGACTTGCCTTAAAACGTCGGGAGCCAGAGCCGACAACCTAGTCCGTGTCCAGCTGAGGGGGAAAAAATTGGAAGCGAAGTCTCGTTCTCGCATGCAGCTCTCGTCCTGGCTGCCGCGGAG